ACGCAAAAAGAGAATTCAGCCAATACTCAGCCATGCTGACAGACCAAGCTTGGTCGATAACACGTATATAAAAAGCTTATTTTTGACAAAGCAGTATTCATTAACTCAAAATGAGTGATAAGTTACTGTATGCAAAAATATATAGATCTTGTTAGACGTTTTGTTGTGTAGTATCGCTGAGTATTTTTACAAGTTGAGCCGTATTTTGACGAAGCCGTAGGGCGAGTCAAAATACAAATACGAGTAAAAAATACTCAGCGATACTACACAACAAAACGTTCAATAAGTTATTTATTATCCAACACGCCAAATTGTTATTTCTGAATCAGAGCGGTCGATTCGCGGATATTTATTTACGAGGAGTGCGTGACAGAAGAATGCGAAGCAGAATTGGGGACGGAGTTGGCGCGTTGTCGTGTTGCTGTTTCTGTTTCTTCTATAAATGAAGAAATTTCCTTGTACATTTGTCAGCCATTCCGACTCTTCGTCGTCGGAAATATGATTCAAATTGTCCGCCTTTTTCTTTTGCGTAACTTCAATCCAATTCTTCGCATGCGCGATGCGAGAAAACCGGTCTAACCGGTTCTCTGGAGTACAAATATCGCGTGATATTTGTACCCGTCTATGGTGTTATTCGTACTCTGTCGAGTATAGTTGGATAATAAGAAGCAATACGCACGATTTGACTGAATTTAATCATAAGTTACTAAGAAAGCTAACTTGGCTATTACAGATATCTGAAAAAGATGGGACCGTCGTGCCATCAAATTGAAGGGGAAAGGGGGGGAGTTGATTCAGAGGATCATTCAGAGGATCTAACTTCGATCCAGTTCTCTCATTATATCTCTAGTGAAACACTGTCGTGCATTTCGGTCCGGCCCCGTAGGCCTTACTCAGCTTAACTCCCCTCCCGCCCCCGGCCCCCACCTTATCATGTCATTTCAAAATACTTTTACATAGTCATGGAGGTCAGGATGGCCGAGCGGTCTAAGGCGCTGCGTTCAGGTCGCAGTCTACTCTTGTAGGCGTGGGTTCGAATCCCACTCCTGACAAACACTTATCATTTTTACAATTCACACCGATGTTTCAAATTCAATTTTGCCAACTCGTAAAAATTTCCATCAGTAAAGCAATTGAAGGCGTACGAGAAATGATCGATTACTTATTGTTGATCGTAAAGACAATCAAGAAAGGGGGGGAGGGGG